ACATGCTGAGAGAGGCGTCAGACAGAACTTCAAGAAAGTGATAATCATGATTCAAGAGAACATGGAAGGAGTTTAATAAATAGGCATTTTAGCGTTGTCACCAGGCAGAAGTTAGGCCTTTGATTTTATTTCCCTTGGTTTGATTTCTACTGTACCCACATGGGAAGTTAAATTTACTAAAAGCAAAGGTCATAAATGGCAGTAGGGAAAGGGGTTTGAGAACAATGAAGAAAACAAACAGGTATTTAGAATTAAAGAAACTGTAACTAGAGTCGGAAAAAAAGGTGGTAGAAAAGAAGCTTGGTTAAAGAAAATTATGAAGAATTATGGAGAAATAGCATGGTATCAGATGTGGTACTAAGATTAAAACAGTTGGACTTTTTTCCCCAGATAAGTTTTATAATAATAGTAATCGTTAATGTTTATATAGTGTTTACAGTATGGCAGACGTTTAGCACTTTACATATATTAGATCAATTACTCCTCTCAAAGATATTATGAAGTATTATTATAATGTCCACTTTCCAGATGAGGAAACTGAGGCCTAAAGAAGTTGAGAGACCTACCCAGGGTTGCCCAGCTGGTAACTGAGTGATGATATGAATACCTGTGATCTGGCTACAGAGCCCACACTCCTAACCCCTGGGCTTCCAGCAAAGTTAAGGATGGGTTGACTATACTTTGAGCATCTCTAAGTCTTTCCAACTTCTTAGAATTCTTCTCTGTTGTAAAACTCTGAAGTAGACTCTACCACATTTAGAGTTTACAAACTATCTTCATTGTTAAAATCTAGAATTGTCCAAGGAGTTTACTGCTTTATAGTCTGCAATATACTACTATGAAAATTAGCATATGAGCCATTGCTGTGCTGTCAGGAGATTTGCCAAATTTGCCTTGTTTGTCATCCTCATGTTACAAGATGTTAAAATTGAGGCTCGACTTTTTGACTTAGAATCACACTGCCTGCAAATGACCAAGGTGGGTCTTCTAACTCCTTCACCAAGACTCTTTCCACAAAATGCACAACTTGTCAAAGGAACTTAAAATCCATAAGAGAATTAAAAAAAAAGAATCACTTTACATTTAATAAGCGATGTCCTCTCAATCTTCATTACTGGTAAAAATTTTTCCATTGCTTGTTATCTATGCTTAAAGGTATAACTTCAGAGACTTGTAAAAATTGTTTCAAAATGTTGAATGGAAACATACATTAATTAATATTATTTTAACCAGGGATATTTGTTTAGGATAAATTAATTCTACCAACATCAATGACAAAAAGAGGAGTGAATCCAACTTTCTAAACCTTATAAGAGGAAATTCTAGGCATTGTGTTATTACTCTTTTGGTTGGGGTAATGGACCCTTTTTGAGGATCTGAATAATTTACTGTCACTCCCAAAATATACACATATACCCGTATTTTTGCATATGATTTGCAGATACGTATATATATGTGTGTGCTTTTTGAAATAGTAGTTGAATTTGTTGTTTTTTGATGGTAGTGGTAAGTATTAGTGAGATGATATATCATCGTCAAAGAGAGCTGAAATTTTGATTTGCGGAAGATTAATGAAGAAACTCTTTTTCCTGCTTTTCAGAGTCTAAGTGGTTGATCATTAGAGCAGTGAGGAGTTTGGGCCCAGAGAGTAACTTATTGTGAATCTGAAGTTTAATCATATTTTAGACAGCAGAGATTGGCACCATAACTCTTATTCACATACAACTGATCCATTCTTTCTTTAGTATTCTAGAAATCCAAACGTAATTTTTTGGTTTAGAACAGAATGTATAAATACAAAGTTTACTTTAGATTTTATTGTTGTCCTTAATTCAATTTGCTTATAACTAGTCTCTACTTCACAAAAGCATGCAAAAGATTAATCTACAATGTATGTCATTGTCCTAAGGTCTTTAGCTTCATCTGTTCTGTCAGCATTTCCACAACCTTTACAATCCTTTGACTGTATTTTAGTGCTGTTGCCCTCAAAACCAATTACTCCTCATTACAGACAGTGCTATCATTCTGAAAGTCTTCGGAACTATAGTGTTTGCATAATGATGTGATGTGGGAGTCATGGAAACTCTTTGTTATTAAGATTATGGCCAAGAAGATTACTTAAATAGAGTAACACAGTGTGTGTTAGGGTTAAGAAAAGATAAAGGAAGTGGGGCGCGGGGGAGAGGGGAGTAGAGAAGGGAAAAACAATAAGGAGGTGGGACAGGAACACACAAAAAAAGTTCTGCCCAGTAGTATTTTAGAAAAGTCACGGTCAGAGGGCACTGTTTAGGCAAGGCATCCAAAGGCATTAGTGTCCACGTATGGACTTCCTTCCCTGAGAGGACATAGGAAACCATCTCTCCTCTACCCAGCCTGTAGAGCCTATGGGGTTGTTCCCTGTGATCTTGGGCTTTGCCTCCCCATAGGATTAGTTTTTTTCCTCAGATTATTGATAAAATTATGCATTAATATTAATTTCAGAATAATTGCCTAATCCTCTACTTGCTTTAGTTGAATAGAGAACTTCCTAGTATGAGTATTAGTTATATTAATTAAATAACAAATGAGTCCCTTTTTGATCATTTGAGTAACATTAATAAAAGAAAATTACATGTAACATCCATGTAAAACTACCTTCAAGACTGGCCTCCCAAATCATTAGCCATTTGTAAAATGAGTCCCTGCTCTCTTATTGACTAAATGACATGTTTTATTTGGCTTGCATGATTTTAAAAAAGCTTTAATTACTAAATATATTAAAATTTGGAAATGCCATGTAAAAATTCAGATTTTGTTCTCTAGAAATAGCAACACCAGCAATCTGGCAACGCCAGGTATGCCTTCCCCCAAAGCAGCAGTCGCCTGAGACTGTGTGCTTGCTTTGCTGGGGCTGTGCTCCTCCAGTCCAATTGCCGTCAGGTCTCTGTACTTGAAGCACTGCACTCCACAACTGGTAGAGAAAACACGTCAAAAGACATAGTTCAAATTTTGGCACAGCTGACTTAAATGGTGTGAGATTGCTTTCATTACGTAAAGGGAAGAATGCATAATCATCCTTTCATCCTAAGATGCTAACTTGGATTCCGGTTGTACTTATACCATGTCAGATTTTAAGGCCTCTCTCACTTTATTTACATGGTTTTCAATAAGCCAAAATTGAGCATTTATAGATTTGGAGGCTAGCCAAGGTATTGGGAAATAAGTGGCATAACGTGTCTTTTCCTTGTAAATTAGTGATATTTCTGCCTGAGGTTATCACCTGCCACATCAAGAGACAAAGGTTTTTCACCTGAGACTGCTGTGACTCTGAAAATGATAGCATTAACGTGTCTAGTTCTAAGAAATACATTACAGTTATGCATCGCTTAATGACAGGGATATATTGTGAGAAATGTGTCGTTAGACAATTTCGTCATTGTGCAAACATCATAGAGTGTACTTATACAAACTAGATGGTATAGCCTACTACGCACCTAGGCTACATGGTACTAATCTTATGAGACCACCATCATATATACAGTCTGTCATTGACTGAAATGTCATTATGCAGCACATGACTGTAGTTAGCTAATATAGAATATTTTCTTAATAGAGTGAAACTGGTTGAGATATTGGCCTAGCAAGTATTTGACCAAAGCGTTATGGCATTACTTAAATTACATGGATATTCAATAAGATATTCTGAGTGTCTGCAGTGAATTCAGTGTTTCTACCATGAACAATATCAGGTGTGCTAGAATGTAATATGGAATAATATTGTCTATATTATATTAATAGAGTTGGAGCCACGCTGCTGAACTCATTTTGATCGATTCCTCTGGGTCTTGATTCCTCCTTTGGTTCTCTCTTTCTTGTTATTTTATAATGGGAAGGAAGAATGCTAGATTCAGAGATTTCAGATGCCTTCAGAGTTCAATAAAATGGATACTTACAAATGATTTTAATAGTACAGTGGTACTATAAATATTGCCCAAATACTTATCATCAGGGTCTGGTTTTGAATTTATTTTTTTGTCAGACACAAAACAGAGCAATTCAAAGTAGATGGAATTCTCCTGTCAGGTGCTCACACACAACTTCAGTTCCACCAGAATCTGCCTTCAGCAAAGTGAGCAAACTTCAAACAGAAATGCGCATGAATAGTTAAAGGGAAATGCTGGATCTCACCTGTTGCCTCTTCTGTGAAGTAATATGTCTATAATGTTTATAAATTTTAATAACCCTTACAGGGCTTTATCTTTCAACATTAAATTTATATTATCTTGAAGTTTGACTTTTCTGGGCAATATATTTTATTCTCTGGTATCTTAGAGAATCTATCCATCTACTAATGTATGTCCATTAATAAAGAATTAAAGTATTCTCTTATCAGCCAATCACCGGCACGTTTATAAAGTTACATTTAAATCTTCATTTTTCAGTAAGATGTTTTCTTTATCTGACTGAAGCTTGTGATCCCTATTGAGGCCTGGAAACACATCATCATTTTATTTGTTGATTCTGTGAATGGGGTTTGTGTTTATCCTTTGTTCCCCAAGATGATAATGGAAACAAATTTTTTAAAATGTGTCCTTTTGATGGTTAAAGATCCCATAGTGATAAACAGTTAAATGAACGAAATCATTGTCTTGAGAATAGATATATTACAAGCCCAATCTTTTAAATTACTTATAGCTGATAGCATCAAGCATCACCTGTAAATCTTATGTTATGTCTTGAAAACAATGAATGTATCTCAATGCGTCGACTATTGGAGGAAAAAAACCTAACAAGCAGACAGTTGTTCCTCATTGCACTTGAGTCAATGGCATAAAAGTCCAGCGGTAGAATTTATGGTTTTAGTGGACATTGTCTGGAGCTCATTTTACTATGGCCCTGGAATTTTGAAGAAGATTTTGGTAGATTTTTGCTGGGGAAGAAAGGAAATAGAAAAAAAAAAGCTTTCTGTCCGATGACAGAATCACGTTTTAAACAACACTTTTTCACTCCTTTGATTTCAGTTTACAAGCATTGAGAAAGGAGAAATCCCGAGATGCTGCTCGCTCCCGCCGGGGAAAAGAAAATTTTGAGTTCTATGAATTGGCCAAGTTGTTGCCTCTTCCTGCAGCCATCACTAGCCAGCTTGACAAGGCATCCATAATTCGACTTACAATTAGCTATCTGAAAATGAGGGACTTTGCTAACCAGGGGGACCCTCCGTGGAACTTGCGAATGGAAGGCCCTCCCCCTAACACATCAGTAAAAGGTAAGTCTTAAGCCACTGTTCATTCTGGAATATGGTGGTCTATAGGTGTCTCTAAGATGAAATGTTTACCATCATCCTTTCTTCTTTTCCTGCATCTCAATCCTTTAAAGGGATACAAATGTGGAAATCTGAACTCTGCATGAGAAAGACACCATGTGAAGGTGAAATAAACCTCTTCTATTTCTATTTTATTTTCAAAAAGTTTGTCAGCCTGAATATTCTGTCACTTTATATAAGGTTTCAGAGAAATGAGAATGAAATGACTTACATTAAAGTGCTTTGTGGGTTTAATTTGTTATGCTAATATGTGTACGTTATTATTGATGGGTGGAATATGAAAATATTTGTTAAATGATGGAGCTAATGTTTTCTGTCTTTAGTGACCAAAGAGAGGAAGGGAGCAGAGTCCAACTGTAGCAGACATTTTGAATCCTGATTTTATTGATGAACAAAATAATCAATCCGTGTATTAATGTTTTAAGTCTCTAAACATGTTGCCTAAAAGTTGTAAATACAAACATATATTTATATTTGCCCTCCAAATCCTTGATGCAGTTACCCTCAGAATTTGTTATTTTAAAATTTTAGGCCTTCTTCACTCTGATAGTTGAGAGGTATTTTCTTGTGTGTTCCTGAAACTCCTAATAATTTATGGCATTTTTAGCATATGAATATGCATGCATATGTTTATTGATGTATATGTGGTGTTGGCCTTTGATTCTCTATCTTTAATGATGTGTTATTCAAGGCGTGGGACTTAAGGGATCTGTTAGTTTCTTGTGCCTTAACTTTGTGTCTAGACTCTTGATGAGCATAGAATAAAGCTGGACGTCTGGCGGAGTTGCAGGCAACCACCACCTCTGGGGGAGGAATTAGGTGTTTTAGTTATGTGATTACGCCATGATAACTACTTTTGAAGTCCCTGTACTCTTGGCTCTTGTAGGAAAGGGTACTAGTGGGGAGTAGTACAGGATTCAAATCTCTTACGGGATTCAAATTAAAATGAAGAGTCAAAAACAGTGGCTGTCTACTGTGCTAAGAGGTGTCATTATGTATGTGTATGTGCATGTGTGAATCTGTTCAGATCTTTGGATTGTTACTTAGGGATTGTGTTTCTTATGCTTATGAGAGAAGGAAAATTAGAATTTAAATTATAACAGGTTACTTTCCACTAGAGCAGGGGTTGGCAAACATTTTTTGTCAAGGGCCGTATAGTAAATAGGCTTTGGGGAGTCCTCTACTCTGCCACAGTAGCATGAAATCAGCCATAGATGATACGTAAATAGGGTGTGGCTGTGTTCTAATAAAACTGTGCTTAGAAACAGGCAGCTGCCAGTGGATTTGGCCCATAAGCCATAGTTCATCGACTCCTGCTCTAGAGTGTAAGAATGACATTCAAAGGTTGAGGAGAACATGCAACAGAGGGAGCTGTCAAGGGGACCTTCTGTCCTTCAGAATGTAGATGTCAACTTGGTAATACACCAGTCCATGTTCCAGATGTTAAAGGAGTAGTGAATTTTCCCAGGCTAAGGATGTGAATATAATTCTAGTAAATATGTTGTATACGTTAGAGTTCATTCAGTAGGCTGTCTTCGTGTTTATTCCAAATCATGCAACATGAAGAGATAAGTGCAACAGGTTAGAAATCACACAATGTGCAAAATATACTCACTAAATTTGAAGTACATTGATTGAGGGACTAGACTTATATTAAGTTGTTTGGCATAATTATCTTTTATTTCCATGTTTTTTAATGAACATGATCACCATATATGTGTGTGTGTGTGTGTGTATATATATATTTTTTTTCCTAAGGAAGATTATCCTTGAGCTAATATCTGTTGCCAATCTTCTTCTTTTTTTTTCCTGAGGAAGATTATCCTTAAGCTAACACCTGTGCCAGTCTTCCTCCACTTTATATGTGGGTCACCACCATAGCATGGCTGACAAGTGGTGTCGGTCTGCATCCAGGATCTGAACCCATGAACCTGGAACACTGAAGTGGAGCATACTGAAGTTCAACCACTATACCATGGGATCGGCCCCTTATTTTTATTTTATTTTTTTATAGAAGTTGGTAGTTATAGGCTTCCTTGGTAGTTGTGGCTACCAAAGTAGGAAAATCTAATGGTTCCATGATCTGTCCGTTATTCTGTGATGTGATGATCCTGCTTACTTTTAGAATCATTGCCTTTTAAAGATGCAAAATCATAAATCATATAGAAGTATGCCCTCATTTAACAGGTGAGAGAATTGATGTAGGGAGAGTTTCCAGTTTACCGTTGTGTTGGCAGAACTAAAACCAGAATCTCATTGTCTTGCCTTTCTGCCTAGTGCTGTTTCTATTATATCATTTCATTTCTAACAGTGATATTTGGTTTTTATCACCATCATCAAGCATACTAGGTGAGAATTCTCTTAGCTTTGGACTGTAACTAATAATGCATTTTTACTTTATGGACTTCAATCAACTCAACTCTATAACTGCTTATAATAAAGACAGATAAAGAAGAAGATAAAATATGGTCTTTGCTCTCATGAGTGTTTCAGTTTACGGAAGGACATGGTGATGTTAGGGTGAAAAATGGGGAGATTTGGGTGGATGTTTAGGAGCCTGGAAAGAGAGAACAGATTTTAGTATTTTAAAAATTCCATCCAGATTATGTCAGAACATCCAATTTGGTATGTGTATTCTCCGACAATTAGCAAACAGAGGATAGTCTACAACTAAAGATGTAAGCATAGTGACTCTATACTGTTTGCCTGGCTCTTAAAAGTTGCTAGGAATGCAATGGGCACTTTCCGTAAGCTGGTTCTGCTGTACAATATGTGTATATTTTATTGCTTTACTCTAGTTCTTTAATGCAAACCTGCTACTCATTCTGATCAAACATTCATGAAACAACAACATCAAAAGAAAGTCATTTTAATTTATTAAGGTCTTCTATGTTGTGCCCTTGAAGAAGTTCATATGGATAAACAAGCTTATATAAATAGCCTGCAGCATCATGTGAAGTGCAGTTCAGAATCCAACAATAAAACTGTAGACATTATACTTCATTCTTCTCCAAGCAGTCTCTTGAATAAACCTAAAGGCATTTGGAAATTTATATGAAAAGTACTTACATCATGTAGGCAACATTTTTTTTAATGTGATGGGTTGTTCATGTTAATAATTAAATTTCAAAGCTTAAATTTAAATTTATCCCACACAACTGTATAGGAATTTAATCATTTTAATTTACTGCTTCAGAAAGGTCCTTTACTCTAACCTGTATTCATCACATCTTTTCTTAAAAGTCTATAAAGGTTGATGAGTTTGTTTTGTGATGCTCATTGTGTACAGATTATTACAAGTTATGCTTGCAGAAAGAACACTCGGGTGACAGTGTGTAATATGTCCTGAGTCAATTACTTCATGGAAATGATATGTTAAGCAATTGGAAGGTAACAGATAGTTTTTTCCATTATTTTAGAAATATCTGTATTGTTATAATACAGATCAAATCTACAGTGAACATTATGCATTATTCAAGAAATGACCAGGCATTCTCAGCAGTGTTTCAACTAAATAACTGATGATTGTAACCTTTAAAGAAATCTCATTGTGGTGACTGTTGGTAAATCACTTCTCCATTCATAGTCATCTCTATTTACAGGCTATCTAGAAACCATTATATCTTTTATTAATCTTAAAAGCAATAGCTGCTGATTTGACATTTGCTAAAACTAGATAAATTTTCTGTCTTTCTAATATCAGAGACTTCAGTCAATTTTTGAAGTGTATCTGCTGCAACTCTATTAATCCAGGAATATTTACCACTGTAAGCATAAGTTTTATTTCAATTTAAACGTTGCAACTTTTAAACAATTGGCCCATGTATGTGACAGGCAAGAATGCTGAAATATGTAAAATATGAGACATTTTTGGTCTTTGGAAGGAAACAATTGAAAAATATGTAAGACAACTGGTGATTAAAATTGACTGAACACATTAGGGAAGAACTTTACTATTTTCCTAGAATTTCCCTTTGCTATTTCAGGCATCTGTTGTGAATTAAGTGGTAGATGGTTCTGAGAGGAGAGACCTGCAGGTCTTTACTTAAGCAACCCAGGATATGTCCTTAGCCAAAGACCAGACTGTTACTTAAGCAATGATGTTTAAGGGATTCATTTAAAATGGTCATGTAGGGTCACTGAGTAGAGAACACCTTTCTGCGGAACATTGAATTACAACTGCAGTGGTTGTCCCCAAAACTTCGATAGCATTTTATAATATTGTTCTGTTTCCACAGAAGATCGAGATTCCAAGACTGTCTGATAGGTTGTCTTGGTCTAAGCAGCTCAAAGGTCTTCTAGTTCCTGTTCTGGCATTTTGCTGGGTGCTGACACATATTTACTTCTACCAAGTGATATTCATGTTTGGGGGCAAATGTCAGATTCCTCATTATTAAAAGACCATGCAAAATAAAAGTTCTTAGAATCAGTACATAGCATGTGTACCAGCCTGTGGTATTCTTTATTTTCTTTATTTTTAACACAGGCAAATGGTAGAACCCAGACTGAACCCTTAGGTTCTAAACACAGCCTTCCTGTAGGGCTAGGAGTGTAGGATCGAAGAATGAAACTTACACCGCCACCAAATAGCTTGATGAGCAGTGTGTATGTCTGTGTCAGGGATCCAAACCTGCAAACCCTGGGCCACTGAAGCGGAGTATGTGAACTTAACCACTATGCCGCCAGGCCAGCCTCCAATATAATTGCCTTTTCTTAGGTATGCTTCTAGGAAGTCTTTTTAATTACGTTGTTATCCTTTTAAATCTTCTGGTGAAGCTATGACTTCTGAAAGAAGTTCATTTAAGAACTAATCTTACTTTCTTCTATTTTACATCATTATGGGACAGGCAATATTTACTTGACCACGCTTCCAATTGTCATGTCTGACACCCATCAGGAAGGGCTTTCTGACAAATGTGGGCTTGATAATGGCAGAGTAAGTCTCAGACTCAGACTCTAATTCTGTGAAGTTTCATATTTTATCAGGAAAAGCTTTAATATCTACAAAGGGGGTCTCTAGTCTACCTTCAGCATGAAGGATGTTAGAAAGCATCACGGGTTTCTTACCACATGCCACTGTCAAAGAATTTGACTGGTCACCATT